TCTTAATCCATTTAATTTAATCGGGGCAGTTAGTTGGACTAGGATGAAAACAAACTTAACGCGGAGGAGGCTTTTTGTAATTTGTTTAGTTATTTAGTGACGCAGTTAGGTTTAACAAACGTGAGTCGTGGAGATTGAAAACGAATGGTTAAGATCGGCCAAGGTACCCGTACCCGGATTTTGCCCTGGGCACCGTAGAAGTCACCATATATATATATATTTGCTAAAAGGATCGGGATGTCACACTATCTTAGATGTGACTTTCGGGTCCAGCCTTGGAGGTTTGATGTAAAGGGTTGTGGTGACATATCAGCTTGAGCTTATATGTAAGTGTGTTACATGATAATTGGATTCCTACCTCGCCTCCTTCAAGGCCACAACTGCGTCTTAGAGTCATCCTGTCTAGAGATGGCAATTTTGCCCATACCCATGGATATTTTACTATCCAACCCAATTGGGTTGGGTATGAAATCCAAATATATAGATATAGGTAAAGTTTGATGGGTTTGTACCCATACCCATTTACTTTGGGTTGGGTTGGGTTTGTACCCATGCCCAAATACAAATTACAGTTTGGTACCTAAACTTAATAGATATGCATATTTAGTACCTAAATTTAATTTTTTTTGCATATAAGTCCTCAAAATATCGATGGAAAATTACGTTTTGGTACCTAAATTTTTTTGGTCTTACATTTTGGTACCTAAACTTTTCAAGTGTTACAAATAGGTCCAATTTTTGCATGTGTAGTTAAAACACCCTCAAGTAAATGGATATCCATATCCAACCCATACCCATTTAGATAATATACATATCTAACCCAAACCCATATACAAACCCCAAACCCATACACACATCACCCAAACCCTACCCATAATAAATGGGTCTACTTGGGTTGGGCAAAATTACCCATGGGTGAGTAAATTGCCATCCTAATCCTGTCGGCTGCACGGGTTGCTGTATTCATTAACCGGTGATAAAAGTCTAGAATGTAGCTACATTGAGGGCTTATTTCACTGTTTTTTTTTTTTTTTTTGTGAAAAGGGCTTATTTCACTCTAGCAACGGTATGTTATTTTGCTACTATTCCTCTTGCTCTTCATTATGTCCCGGACTCCTCAATTATTATAATAATTATTAATAGCGCAAGAGGCCAAATCTTCCATTCCTTACGAAAAAGTAGTGTCAGTGCAATGTTTTTGGCAAGAGTACTGTTCACTTGTTCACTCGAGATTGTTATCATCTTTACTCAATTTTACTATAATCTCTTTGTTATATATGTATTACTCTAATGTTTTGTAAAATCAATTACTTTCACATAATGATTTAATAAATGTAATATTTAAAAAACTTGATATATTATTAAACCACACAGTAAGAAAATTTTGTGTTCACTATTCTACTGTACCCTCTTATCTACCCAATTTCAACATGATTTTATTTGCGTTACTCTAAGATTTTGTAAAATCGGTTACTTTTTACGTAATAGTTTAATAAATGTAATACTTCTTAACTTGATTTTATTGTTAGACCACCTAGTACAAAAGATTTGTGCAACACAATTCTATAATAGTTACGTTATTACAAATACATTACATAAAACTTATGGAGGTATAGCTATTTTTATGTATCGATATTATACAAATGTATTAGGTGATTTTCCACAATGATTAAGGCACTACGTAGAAATTATAGAGAGATAGTTAAAATAACTATAAAAGAGATAGTTATTTCTTATGCACGAAACGAACTTATTACGGAAGCCTTCCTTAATGTAAGATTGAATGAAATTTTTTTACTATTAATTAAACGGTTGATCATCTCGTTTCATAGCAGTTTAACAAAATGAAATACTTTCTAATTTTATTAATAGACCACATATTATGGAAGATTTATTAATCACATTTTATAATAGCTACATAAATTTAAAATATATTTTTTATGGTTAATCAAAAATTGCATTAAACCCGGGAATTGCAAACTACAAACTCCTCCTCCAAGTACAAGCTGTTTAACCAGAACATTAACAACTCAATGTAACTATCTACTATAGTATGCAAAAATAAAAACTATCTCTGCTTCATTCCCGCTTCAGGGTTTGGCTGCCATTATCCGCTTTACTTCTTCAATCCGTCCAACAACCTACTGGGGGAACGTATTACAACATTGTGACTTCTGCAGCATCCCTCACGCCACACATAGCTAATGCAAAGGGACCATTATCTCAACCTTCCTTCATCTGCTATCAATGTGCTACTGGACCACTGCCTCACTGCCCAGCTCAAATGCTCTGACTAGGGATGACAATTTTGCCCATACCCATGGGTTTTTTACTATCCAACCCAATTGGGTTGGATATGAAATCCAAATAAATGGATATGGATAGAGTTTGATAGGTTTGTACCCGTACCCATTTACTTTGGTTGGGTTGGGTTTATAATAAATGGATTTGGGTTTGTACTCATGCCCAAATGCAAATTACAGTTTGGTACCTAAGCTTAATAGATACACATATTTAGTACCTAAATATAATTTTTTTTTGCATATAAGTCCTCAAAATATCAATGAAAAATTACGCTTTGGTACCTAAATTTTTTTGGTCTTACATTTTGGTACCTAAACTTTTCAAGTTTTGCAAATAGGTCCAATTTTTGTAAGTGTAGTTAAAACACCCTCAAGTAAATGAATATCCATATCCAACCCATACCCATTTAGATTATGAAAGCAATATTCATACCCTACCCAAACCCATCTACAAACTCACAAACCCATATGCACTTCACCCATACCCAACCCATTATAAATGAATCTACTTGGATTTGGGTATAATTATTCATGGGTGGGTAATTGCCATCGCTAGCTCTGTCCATGTAGTGAAAACATGGAGGTGGCAGGATCTGCTCAGCATTTTAGACAATATGTAGCTGATGTAAGGGCATCCAGAAAAGAGGTGAATTTTAAAATACATTACGTAAAAGTTATGGAAGAATAGTTATTTCTTAATTATTTGTTTTCTATTTGTCAATTAAACAAAGGTAATACACGAGTCTTACCTAATGATTAAAATAAATAAAGATTATAGAAGAAATGTTTTTTATTTATCAACTAAACAGACGTATTATGTAAGTCTTCCGTAATGATTAAGATATTGCATAGAGCTTATGGACGGATATTTATTTCTTATGTGTCACAAACAAACATATGAAGTATGTTTTCTTAATGATTAAGAAGCTACCTAAGTATCTTACCCCAATAATTTTATGAATTATTTGATTCTACTAAATTGTTAAATAAGTGATTGACATTATAATATAATTAGTTTCTTACAACTGCGAATCGCGGGTCAAAAAACTAGTATGGCATTATGAGGTATCAGGTGTTTTCACCTTTAAATTGGCATATACAACGTCGCTTTGGCACCTAAGGAGGGATGGAGTGAGGGCACGAGTGAGCTCTGCAGATTCGGCCTTATTGAAGAGAACATGGAGTTTTAAGCTTCAACTAAGGCCAAATTCTTTCTATGGCAGGTTCTGAACCGGATTATGCGTACTACTGAATCTCTAGTAAGTCGAGCTTTAGAAATTCCTTACCTTTTGTCTGGCGTGTTTATATTACATATATACGTTTCTAACAATATCAACATTATTATTAATGGATGTACAGGATTAGCGGCTAATTGTGGACCGAGTTGCATTAAGGTCATTATTAGAGTTTTGGGTTTATTTTCTATATAAATGTACTTTGGAGTATTACATCATAATTAATTAAAAATCAATAGACAAAATCCTATTCAGTTTATCTCTCTCATCCTTCTTCTCCCAACTCTTCTAAATCCCTAATCCCCAATTATGTTCTCCACTTCCCAATTCTCAATTCTCCTTCTCAAATTCCTAATTCCCTTTCTAATCTATCCGGTTACGTTATTCACAAGCATTTGAGAAAGCGTGTTTCTTACCGTTTACTTGAAAGAGAATCAGAGGAACACTTGTTCTTTCATTGTCCGGTGAGAAAATGAATGTGGGAGTTAGTTGGTTTACAACATTGCTTACCATCTCCTATATCATATTTTCTGCCTCTTCTTGAGACGGGTCCTCTCCCTACCTCCGTCTCCAGAAACAGACTATTTGATTTTGCAGATTGCTTCTCTCCTTTGGCACATTTGGAACAGTTGTTGCTTGGTGCACTTTGAGTCCTATCAGTATCAACTCTAATCGCATGTATTGGCTTTTCCGTTGTTGTTTCATGTTATGGAGGTGGATGAGGCCTTGCTTCAGACCTCACGGTCACCTGTCGGAAATGATCTCTGGAGGCTCTTTCCTCGCATTCTGCAGGTGCTATCAGATGGCAATTTTCAGTCCCAGTGTTCGTTTGATGCAGGAATCAAGGCATGATCACATGGTGCGGCTAATTGGGTGTAAAAGACACGACAGGGACCATTTTTGTTGGGGCAAGCCATGCATTATCAGCATATTGATGACTCGTTGATTGTGGAAATGCTGGCACTACGAGATGCTATCATGGCGTGCAAGAGGAGAAGCTCACTGAGGTTCTTTTCCTTGACGATGCCGGTGTGGTCATCGACTCATCAGTTAATGTTTGCATCGCTCGACCATAGATGCTAAGGGTGGAGCAATCCTTTGTGAAATTCAGTCTTTGGAGTCCTCTTTAGGTTATCGACTCATGCTTATGAGATTTCACTTCGTTTCTTGATTTGCGATGTCACTTGCCCGCTTAATCTTTGTTCCGGGGTGTGCATTTGTTACTCTATATCTTGTTTCATTCCTCAGTCTGAGGTATCCAATGTTAAACAAAAAAATTAGATCAGCTGCATCCCCTGCAGGCTGTTGGTCTGTACATAGATCCTTAGAAGTTAGAAATGAGTCATGCATCATGCCAGCCAAATGATTCAATAACTTTAACTAACCCTAGAAGTTAACTGCATCCTCACTCAAAAAAAAAAAAAAAAAAGTTAACTGCATTATACATTAAGGTGACTGAGTACCCGCTCAAAGAGAAACCAGGGAGATCCAAGTCATACTTCAGATTAGAACAGCCAATAAAACATTCTCTGCACATCAATCCATTCACACCCTTGTCAACAACAACAAAAAAATCCATTCACCCCCACAACAAAGAAATGATAGTACAAGCTCGGCGCTACTCAACAACAGCCTGGTATAATTACAGGAGAAACCAACAAACACAAATTTGCGCACCACAAATGCCGTTTTTAGCACTTTACACTTGAAAAAAATTTCCCCCTTCCTTTGATAAATTAACAAACACTGCCAATCCCACATAACCACACAAACCCCTGGTCAAAAGGGGTGCCGTGTTCATTTGATTAGCATGGGAAAAAACACACCTTAACCCGCAACTCTCATGGTCTAGGGAAAATGGATGTGGTTTTCATACATTAGTAATGCATAAAATTAGCCGTCACCTTTTGGATTTCGTGTCTATGGCTCGAAGCTTTGGCGACGATTGTGATCCACCGCCGCTGCTGCCACCGCCACCTCCAAGTGCAGCAGCGGCAGATTCGACGTGCGTGAGAAGGTACTCGTAGATCTTCTTCCTCAGCCGATCAACGGTCTCGGAAGAAACACTCGGTCGAGTCTCATCGTCTTCATCCTTGCTCGCCCCAATCCCGTCTAACCATTCATTGACACTCTTCAGCTGAGTCAACATCCCAGCTATTTGACCGTTATCCGACAGCACTGACGTGTCAACGTCTGCGTCCAAGAACCTTTCCACAAACCCCAAGAACCAACTCTGGGAATCCACCCGCAACACTTCGGCTAAGTCCATCGCCTCGTCGAGTCCTCCCCTCCTGCTCCATTCTGGTGGTGGTTGCAGGGGCTGCGCTTTTTCACTAGCAGCAGAAGAATCAAACTGTTTGCGGAAAGCACCTGTGGCTACTAGCTTCGAGCCAACAACTGGACGGATTTTGGGTTCAGGTCTCGTAGCACCATTCTTTGAATGGGTTTCGAGAACAAGCACATGCTGGTTACTTCCAGCAGAGGCTTTTTGGTCCTTGGTGAATACGGCAAAGGATGATAAATTGGTGGCTAATGCTGCTTGGACCCACATGGATGCGTGTTTACGTTGATCTGATGTAATCTTCTGTACTTCTTCGGGGAGATTTTCATTCATTGATCCAGGGGGGAGCATTTTGGACAGAGAATCAGCCACTGTACGAGCATTGTTCAAACTTGAATGGAGAGCCAAGAAAAGCTCAACAGCAGGTTGAGGGTTATCTTCTTTGGCTGACAAAATTAGCTCAGAGTAAATCCTACAACAAGAAGAAAGCATCATCTGACTATTACATACTTTGTTATATTACGATGTAATAGTCTTGATCGGGTTGTTGTTTTACCTAAGACATCGAAGCAAGCTCTCTGCAGCACAAGCCTCCTGCATTGCCTCTATTGCTGCTGTCTGTGCAGCATCTCTATGCCTCATAACTTCCTGAGACAATAAGCGTTTGGAAGATGAATAAATAGGGCAGTTAGCACATTAACTAGTTTTCATGAGAAAACTGAAAATTCTCTACCTTCCCAAGCTTAGCAAGAGAAGAAGGAAGAGAAGTCCATGAAACACTCCCTTCAGTCAGCCTTTTACTATGTATTGGAATTTTGACAAAGTTCCCTGGAAGCCCATTATTAGCCAGTTCTCCAGAAGATTTTCTTCCAACAGACAGCCTAGGCTTATTCATCGTTTCTTGATCATCAGTAATCCCAGAAAAAGCAGCTCTCTTAACAGATACTGGACCTTTGTTCTCTTCTTTAAACGAATTCGTAAAGCCCCTACTATCTTCTCTAGGAAGTGAACGCTCACTGGACGTACTTTTCCTTGGAACCTGCAAATATACAATTGGATTTAAACGGGGAAGCGCAACATTTAAGTTCAAAGAAGTTTAGAACATCCCAAACGAGGGGGGAAACATGGTACCACTGATAAGAGTAAAATCCAGAATAAATTAAGAACTTCCAGAAAACTCACCCACGTTAGTGATGATGCAGTGATATTCGAGTTGCATTGTCAAATTCATTATAATTAATCTAAGGAAACTCTTGGCGTGGCAAAATAAGTATAAACAACTGAGAATAACATGACTTAATTTGCATACTAAAAAGATCAGAAATCACAGCCAGTGCATTGCATTATCCTTGGGCACGTGTTTAGTTTCAAACTAAACCCAGCATCTGTAATACGAAATGCTAAAGCCAGTAAAAAAGTGATGATACTCACAGAAGTACTCCGAACTTCAGGTTTTGGATCCAGTTTGGAAGGCAGCAACTTTGTGGAATCCCTCTTCTTTACTTCCATGCTTCCTTCCCAGCTCCTCCTCAGAGCCTTTGCTCCCAGCTCAATACCCTGAACTATGTTCTTGATCACAGGAACTCTTCTAGTAGGAGTTAATCCATTAGCAGAAGCCGCTCTTTCTGTTAGTCCTAACCTAGGCGAACCCTTATCGAACCCCTTAATTTTAGACTGTTGCTTCACCCCACTTGAAAACTTCTCAAATGATGTAGGCAACGAGTAACAGCTACTTGGAGAAGAAGGAATAGATCTTGAACTAGAAGGCTTCAACTTTTGTAGAGATTCGTTCTTCAATTCTAGATTCGAATGAAGTTTTGACAACTGAGACTTAGACCTCGCTAGAGAGGAGGTTTTCTTAGAGCGTAAATCATCTTTGCTACCACTGCTACTCAGCCCTCTGGGCGTTGATTTCACCTTCTCCCCCACATTACTACTGCCTGAACCCACTTTTTTCAATGTCTTTGCACTGGTGGAATGCTTTGAACCAGAACTTGGATCATGATTATTATTGAGGAAGCTGAGTGAATCAGTTGCCACGATATCCTCGGGGCTACCAACACAAGCATGCCTCCCTGGGATTGGCTTAACTCCTCTAAGTATTGGGACTGGTGAGGCAGCTTCGAGCCTCTCAATATGAATAAATTGTCCTAATTGGATCTTATCGCTCAAAATGAGATCATCATGTTCCTCCGGTAAAGAGACGTAAGTTGCATGGGAAGAATCAGACACTTTGAGATAAAAACCCTGATTAGGGAATAGCTCACTGCCCGCTAGTGCTGGCACAATGCTCACCACTTGCAGTAACGATGATCTATGCTCACCTGCAACTTTGACATCTGTATTCATGTGTTGCAAGAGCTTGAGCAGAACCCCTGGGGTAAGATTCGCCATTTGCAGAGGGATTTTCTATTTGCATTACTTTCGGGACACACCCCCTAAGAATAAGGAAACAGGGCGCCTGCTTCCTACTCAGAACATCCAAACAGTAGATAACAAATACCTCTTGGTGATCACGAGCAAACCTTTCAATCCTGCAGTTGAAACCATCACAAATTTGTGAATTACAGAATCAATATGACTGGAAGACCAAACAACTCATCTGCCATTTTGGGAGCGGAAATCATCTGAGCTACTCTTACGCTCTCATTCTTGAAAGAAAGAAAGAAAGAAAGAAAGAAAGAAAGAAAGAAAGGATACACCACCTCTTCCTGACCTCATGGACACATAAGAGGCAGCATTGAAGCGTCATAAGTCATCATATCTAAAACAAGCATGGCATATCACCGGGGAGACACATCGACTCACGCCAGTAAACCATAAAACACCAAAGCCCTATTAGAGCATGTAGCTTATAGAGGACTATTAAAAAAAAACTTGTTTCACCCTTCTAATAATACAAATACCATACACCCATCTTGACCTAAAATCTCAACCCTAACCCAAATAACGAGTATTGATGATCATTAAGGGCTCATAGCACATGTATTCTGAAAAGGCAGCAAAACCCAATAGATGGCATCATTGGTCAGGAAAGCAATCAGCATCATACGTTGCAGTCCTCAAGGGTATTCCTTCAAACCCAGTTGTTAATCCCCGCTGACACTTCCTCTCCACGAAACACAAAAGCGTTCTCCTTTCCGCGCAACCACACTCAATGAAAGCAAAGCAAAGAACCCACAAATGCAGATTTCAACGTAAAGGAAAAGCATGACTCCAACCAACCTGCTCCGCTGAAGCCTCCTTCAGCCGCGGGCCCTAAACTTGGCCAGCGAAACCGCAGAGTGTGGACAAGCTGAAAAGATGGGGTAACCGAGTTCCTTCCAGCTCAACTCTCCTCCAATCAAATACCCCCAGCCGAAAATGACACAGCAACAAGTTCCATTTCGCTATGAACCAGCCCGCTCCCCGGGTAGAGAAAACGGGCAAAGAGGGTAAAGGTCGTATTTTGTGAATCCGGAAAAGGGAAAAGGAAAGAGGAAAAGGGTCTCTAATAACTGAAGCAACGGGGGCGGCCTGGGAAGATGGTATATGCAGCGCAACAGCCAATAGCTGCTGAAAAGGACCCAACAGGAAGCACGAGGCGGAGAGAGAAAAAAAATACAGAGGAAGGGAAGAAGAAGAAGAAACGGGTCGGATCCAGCTGGGGGCGGGTTTCCTCGGCGAGGGCTTTGATCTCGAACGGAATGAATGATTTGTTGCGGGGTGTGGTGAGCTGGACTGGAGAGGCGAGTGGCGCATGTGCAGAGAGCAATGCGGTTGTTTGGAAGGAAGAAGAGACGGGGAGAGAGAGAGAGAGAGAGAGAGAGAGGAGAGGCAGAGAGTTGGAGTTGTCGGCTACCTGAAAAGAGACTTCACTCACATCTCTCTCCATGATTCCTTACATTTCCTTGTATTTTCAACCCACCTCTCTCCACCCGTCCACCGGTACTCGTACTCTCGGGGAAAGAAAAAAAAACCACAAAAATTCTTTATTATTTCAAAAAAGAAATTGAATTTAACTAAACAAAAAAAAAATTGAATTCAACAAATATGAACTCGGGAAAAAACAAACAGTAGGGTTGTGATCTGTTATTGTCGCTTGCATTACACCTGGACGATAAGTGGGACTAGTTAGCCAATCACTTCACTAAGAAAAAATTCATGAAAAAGATAAAATAGACTTATATATAGTTATAGATGGGTAATGACTAATGTCTATTCTATATCTAAATATTTTTCAGATTATTTTATATTATCAAATTTACTAAAATAGTAAAATGTTATTAGATAGTCAAAATTTTCGTAATGTATCAAAATACTAGCCATTTTATGTTATCATTAATAATTTGGATTAATATATTTTGTATGGCCTGAACTTTGACCATAATAAACATCATGGCCATCTTTTCGATCTATAGCATCTTGACTCAAACTATATATCAAAGTAACGACATTGGCCAAACCCGATGTTTGACTGTTATCTTAGTTGGAATTGTGGAAGATGAAGCTCAGAGATTTTCTGAGTTCACCATTTCTCATATATATACACTATGTTTGGCAACAAGGGGGTGCAAGTTCGAGGGGGTGCAAGTTGAGGGGTAAATTGTTGGGGGGTGCAACTTGGTGGAGGGTGTAAGTGGAGGGGTAAATTGTTGTTTGGATGAAAAAGTAGGGGGGTGCAAATAGAGTAAAAAGTAAGTAATTATATTATTATAAAATAGATTTATCAATTTATAAAATATTATCACAAAATAATAACATGAAAATTCAATATATAATAATAATAAATAATAAATAAAAATAATTTTAATAAAAATAATTATTATATAATAATGCTCAAATATAATTATTTATAATAATAATAATAATCATTGGTCGAGCAACCTCGAAACTCGAAATCCAACTCGTAACTGGTCATCCTAAGGGGGTTCTCGTGCCTAACTTTAAATTGAATATGGTCAAACTTAGTCAAACACGTTCGAATTTGTAAGTTTTAACTACTTATTAAAGTAAATCGAGTTAACTAAACTGTCCCTCTCTATCTTTTCAACAAACGCTTCTTATCTCTAATTTTCAATGCAAATTCGGGTCAACTAAGAGATATCGATTTGACTAGGCGAACATTGACAAACTTGCTCTCTGAGTCAAATGGTCAACCCCAAACAACTTCTACACTAATATAGATATAAGAAAAAATTAATAATATTAATTATTATGTAATTATAATCTAATTAAAAATCCATAATTCCCCTCCTCCCCCTTCCCCCTCCCTTCCTTCCTTCCCTTGCACCCCAATTTGGGGGGTAAGCCGAAATAGTGAATTTACGCTCACGTTTTGCACCCCCCTACTGTTACAAAATAACCAAACGGGGGTAAACACCTTGGAACTTGTGTTTACCCCCCAAACTTGCACCCCCTTCCATTTACCCCCCTTCCCAAACATAGTGATAGTGTTCAAAAGGAATTACAGTAATATGCCACTTGTCCAATGTTTACAGGCCATTAACAAAAATAAACAGTTCTTTCTTAACGGCTAACTGAGCATTAAAGTAAACGACAGCGTATAGGTAAAGCTCTGCAAGCTTCTTTGTAAAACGGTTGCGTCTTCAGTAAACGACGTCGTCTTCATCCTTTCTTCTGTTTACTTCAATTGAATCCTGAGCTCTCTCGGATTCCTCTGCTGCAAGACTTTCTTCTTCTGCAACTCTTCACTCTTCTTCAATTCTGATATCCCCCCTCAAGTTAGTGGCTCCAACATGTTGGTGACACCTAACTTGATCAGTAATTCTTTCATTCGAAACCTGTCAAGTCCTTTAGTAAAGAGATCTGCTAACTGGTTAGCAGTTCCAACATGTTGTAGTTTGATCAATCCACTCTTAATTCGATCCCTGGTCACATGTATGTCTATTTCTATGTGTTTTGTCCGCTCATGGAACACTGGATTCTCTGCAATATAGATTGCAGATTTGTTGTCACAAAAGATAGGGATAGGTAGAGGTACCTTCACTGTCAACTCTACTAGGAGTTGTTTCAGCCACTGCACTTCACATACCACATGAGCTAAAGCTCTATATTCTGCTTCAGAGGAGGATCTAGACACTGTAGTCTGTTTCTTTGTTCTTCAGGTCAACAGTGAATCACCAAAGAAGGTGCAGTATCCTGTTGTTGATCTTCTAGTATCTGGGCAGCTTGCCCAGTCTGAGTCACAGTAACCAGCCAACTTGAGATCATTCTTACTGCTGAAATGAATCCCTTGGCCTGGAGATGTCTTTAGATATCTCAAAACCCTATAAGCAGCTTGCATGTGTTCCTGGCAGGGGTTCTTCTGGTACTGGCAGAGCTGCTGCACAGCAAAGGCTATGTCTGGCCTGGTAATAGTCAAATAATGCAACCTGCCAACCAGTCTTCTATAGGCTTCTCCATCTTCCATTTGTGTTCCCTGAGCAGACAACTTCACTTTGGTATCCATAGGTGTCTTACAACCCTTTGAATCCAAATAACCTGTGTCCTTCAAAAGTTCAACACAGTATTTCCTCTGACATACATCAAGACCATGATCATTTCTGACAACCTCCAGACCCAGAAAGTATTTGAGAGGTCCTAGTAGTTTGATCTTAAACTCCTTGCTTAGAGCCAACTTAACCTGCTCTATGTCCTTTTGTGCATCTCCTCCCAGGATGATATCATCCACATACACTAACAGGACAACCACTCTTCCATGCACCCATTTAGTGAAAAGGGAGTAATCAGAATTTGATTGAGAGAAACCATTCTTGAGAAGAAAACCTGCAAGCCTAGCAAACCATTGCCTGGAGGCTTGTTTAAGCCCATACAAAGACTTTTTCAGTCTGCAAACAAGATTCTTTCCTTCTGGATTAGACACTTCAACTCCCAGAGGAATCTTCATATACACTTCATCATGCAATTCTCCATGTAAGAAAGCATTAGAAACATCTAATTGCTCCAAAACCCAATTCTTCACACTAGCTACTACTAACAGTGCTTTAACTGTGTTAATCTTAGCAACAGGTGAGAAAGTGTCTAAAAAGTCAATACCATAAACTTGATTGAAACCTTTAGCTACAAGTCTTGACTTACACCTCTCAAGTGAACCATCTGGTTTAAGTTTAATCTTAAACACCCACTTGTTTCCTATTGCTTTCTTCCCCCTTGGCAGCTCTACAATATCCCAGGTTTGATTCTCCTCTAAAGCAAATATTTCAGACTTCACTGCTTGATTCCAGATATCATCCTGAATTGCTTCATAATATGATCTGGGTTCTTGCATATTGATCACACTCAGAACATAATGTCTGTCAGCTGAGTTCAGTTTATCAACATTTAAGCAAAGTGGATACCTGGTAGAAGCATTAGCTTTACCAAAGGCTCCAAATTTGAGGGAAGGATCCAGTTGATAATCCTGAAATTTGGATGGCAAGTTAACTTTCCTTTTAGGTAAAGAACTGCCATCAGCATTATGCTCATCTAAATCATGATCAGCCTGAGATATAAGTTCCTGTTGATCACTATCAAAGTACTCATAATGATCCACCACAGGAGATAAAACAGGCTCACTAGTCCCCCCTTCATCAGAGGATGAAACAAGTTGAGACTGGCTAGACAAAGGAGAGGAAGTGATATCTGGTGCAGGGCTGGTTTGTGAGGAAGAAGGTTTAGAAGAAAGTGAGGAAGGGATAGAAATTGGTGGAGCAGAACTGTAGGTTGGTGGTGTATAAGAAGGTTCAGGAGAATCAGAAGTGGAAATGGGTGGTTCAGAAAGTTTGTATGGAAGGATGTTCTCATAGAAGATCACATCTCTAGAAAAGAAGACATGTTTGGTGTGTAGGTCTAAGACTTTATAGCCTTTAATACCAGAAGGAATTCCCAAGAAAATGCACTGTCTGGCTCTAGGTGCAAACTTGGTTCTTCCATGGGACAATGTGCTGGCATAACACAAACAGCCAAACACTTTAAGATGAGAAAGAAAGGGTGGTTTGTCATACAGAACTTCATAGGGTGATCTATTGGCAAGAATGGGTGTGGGAATCCTGTTAATGAGGTATACTGTGCAGGATACAGTCACTCCAAAAAGTAAGTGGAATCCCTGACTGAAACCTCAATGACCTAGCCACATTCAAGATGTGCTGGTGTTTCCTTTCTACACGAGCATTCTGCTCTGGGGTCTCTACACAACTCATCTGATGCTCAATACCTTCTTGCAGGAAGTAATCACACATAGCAAATTCTTTCCCTTGGTCACTTCTAATGACCTTAACTGTTGTACCAAACTGGTTCTTAACCAGATTACAAAACCCTTCCAGTAAACCTCTAACCTCACTCTTATGTTTCATCAGATATACCCAAACAGCACGTGAGAAATCATCCACAACAGTTAAGAAATAATTGAATCCATCATAAGAAGTTACTGACAATGGACCCCAAATATCCACATGAAGTAAATGAAATCTGTTTGGTGCAACATTGGTGCTAATTGGAAAAGACAAACGTTTGTGTTTGGATAAATGACAAACATCACAGTGTTTTGTCTTAGAACTAGTTACATTAGGAAAACTATGGCTAAGCAGGTTCAGTCTTTCATGGCTGGGATGCCCTAGTCTCCAATGCCACAGCTCTAGTTGGTGAGGATTGAAGTTGAAAAGTGTGGCTACATGAGGCTGAGTAGGTGAACTGGAGGATGGTTGTTGAGTGGATGGAAAGGTGAGATGGTAGAGGCCTTTAGTTTCTTTTGCTAAACCAATCTTCTTCTGACTTAGAAGGTCCTGGATAGAACAATGGTCAGATTGAAAGTGTAAGGAAACAGGTAGATCATGTGTAAGCTTACTTACTGAAACTAGGTTAAAGGTAAAGCTAGGCACATATAAGACATCATAGAGTACTATTCCAGTAGGTAAAGTAACTGTTCCTATGTGTGTAACCAGTACTTGTGTGTTGTTGGGAAGGTTAACAAAGGAATTTGGGATAGACTTGTGGTCTGTGAAAAGGGATAAGCTACAGGCTATATGATCAGA